CTGGCGAGGAGATATTACAGCTGGGGTTAAGGGTTTCTAACTTTGGTTCAGTGGTTCCCAAAGTGGGGGTCGAGGAGTTGTGCGTGGGCATCAAGGATATTTCTTTAATTTTACAAGTTTCACACATTTATATTTTCATCTGATAAAGTTCAGTGAAGATTGCAAGCAATAGTTTGAATGTGTTGACATGGGGTTGTTCAACATAAGGGTCAAGGTAATATATAAGATTCACAACAATAAGCTACAACAAAAGGCAAAATATATAAAAGAATACAAACAGAAGAACAAAAAGGTGTGGAAATAAACCAGAAAATCAATTTTGATGTCCGATGTTTTGCAGGGACCGTCAGCATGTTGTCTCACAGCTACCTTACAGTATGATCTCTAAACATATGGCAGTTTGTATCAAATTCATTTACGAAGCAGAAATGTTTAAATCTAGAAGTTGGAAAAAACTGATTTCCCTTTTTATTCCAGGTAACTCAGATTGTCCTCAGTGTGTTTCAAATCACATGTGTGACTGTGTTTCTGGCCAGTGGCTTAAGCAGAGTGCCGGTCGAAGTCCCCTGCTTCATCTGTTCTATACTGGTGAGGACTGAAGGTTTATGACACACGTTTTGTTTATATTTAGCTTCAAACATGTGTTTTATTAATTATTTTACTATGATTTCTTTCTATTTTTTAATAATGTATTTGTGTAAAAATTCAGCCAGCCTCTGCAGCCCTCTGGTGGACAATACTGATTAAAAATTAAACAAGTAAAACATATATATATATATATATATATATATAAAGTCATTTTATGTCATTTTCATTAATAGATAAACATGATACTTAAAAATACTTAAATAATGATACTTAAACTTAACTTAAACTTGTGTGTCTTTTGAGGCAAACATCTTGATTATAATCTTGTGACCATTTTTTGCACATATAGTTCTCAATACTTTTTCTCTGAACGTGCGTTGTTTTAACCACAGGTGATCATAGCTGGTGGTGTGGCTGTTGCAGCTCAGAACCTCCGTTTGCCAACAGTAAGTAAACAGAACACAAAATTGTTAACCACGCTCAGTGGCCAGCAGCCTGTTGTGTTCAGGAAGTGACCTTTTCACCTTTGAGGATGTGCTAAGAAAGAATTGTCCTTGTAGAGAAAAATAATTAAAAAATAATTATTGAGTCCCTTATTTGTATTGTGAGTGAGGCTGCCACAGGAGGCGCCATTAGGGACACGTGGTTTCTCTGGGAATCAAACCCAGGACTCTCTGCTATGTGCTTGAAAGGCAGGTGTGCTAACTGCTCCACTATGGAACCACTTTAAAAAAAATTAATGAGAGAATTGAGAAGCGCTGATGTGTGAAAACAAGAGGAACCAACGGAACAACTCTTGGTTTCTGCCACTTCCTCTGTCACATGAGTCACTGAATGGAGCTGGTTCTTCAAACATGCGGCCATGTGTAAGTGAAAGAAAACGTTACTAACAGAATCCCCACCAACCTGCAGTCGGCTTATTTCACCGTGGTCTCAGAAGATCTAACCATATCCAAGATATTCTTCAGGGTGGATCAGGTCCACCTTAAGTCCCAGGGTCTAAAAACATTTTCTGCCAACTCCACTGAACTTTATTTAAAACACAAAAATTCTATCCTTGAGGAAAACAGAGAATAAAATTACAGTTATTATTAAAATTAAGTTTTCCCACTATTCCACAAATTTTCTCCTAGGTCCCCCTTGGAGACCCACCCCTCACATTGGGCACCACTGCAATGATCAAATGTAGACACCTGAAGCAACTTTACACATGAATATTTACCAAGAAACACAATTTAAAGCTACGTCTACCTCAACATAAATAAAGGATGTAGTCTTGCTGTTGCTGAGGTGAAGACACTGAACAACAATTTCATATGTAAACTAACAGCATGCTGGGTTGTGTGTGTGTGTTCCAGCTCAGAGCCTGTTTGGGGATGCAGGTCGTAGCATGCATCGCCTCCTTTCTCAATTTGCTTCTCACCTTGGACAAAGTGGGCTACACACCCTCCATCTGTTGGCATTACAGCTATGAGAACATGACGCAAGAATATGGAGAAAGATGCTACAACATCGAGGTGATTCACATGTGCAGTATTAACAACCAACCAAAACGTTAGCCTCATAGCACGGCTACGAGGCTATGTAAGTACTAGTTTAGGGTCGTCAGAGAGAGGAAAAACCAAACTGCAGAAGTGTGTCTGTCAGACAGTGATTATGGAATGTAACATGTACTCTGATTGGCCCAGGATATGGGCAGTACCGTGAAGATTGAGCAATGTTAGGAGAGTGTAGTTTCGTTATCTGTCTCTCTTCCATCCTTATTTTGTTCTATTGTTTCCTCATTTTTTCTCATCCCCATTTTACTTTTTTATACTCTTTTTTCTCCTTCCTTCTTTCTTTCTTTTTTCTCTTTCAATCTTTCCCATCTTTTTTCTTCATATTCTTTCCATTTTTATCTAATTACTCCCTCCCTCTCCCCAGAGCGCTGTTTCCCATTTATTTGCTGAGTGTGCAATCATCCAGGCTGTGATGTTCGCCATCTCTGTAACCTTGGCCTCGTACTGCTGTAAGGTGGTCAACTGCTGCACAACAGGACCAAAAATGGTAGGTTAACCTAAAGTAATAACAAAATCTCTACTGACACCTAGTGGTTATCTGTTCTAAAGCCACATGAATGTTGATCTGCGTCTTTTCGTGTCCCTGTCAGACTGTGATCACCGTTCAAGCCCCGGCAGTCCAGCAGTGAGGAGACATGCTAATGCTACAACAGTTAGCTTTAATAAAAGAATAAACATCGATTCTTTAATACTTAGCTGTAGCTGAATAATTAAGGTCCAACAGAGAAAGGTAGGTCCAAGATAGTTTTGGTACTAACAGCAGAGTGGTATATGACGGAGGAACCTGAGCAGCTGAAGGAAATGCAAGTGCCACTTTGTTAGGGAATATATGGCTTGACTTTTCTATCGATGACTCTATACACACGACTATGACGGAGTATTGAGGCCAAACTGAGGATTAAAAGTATCTGAAATGAGAGGATTAATTATAGGACCACTGTAAGAGTTGTAAGTTTACTAGAATAAAGTCACGAGTTTATGAGAAGAAAATCCCAAATTTACCAGAATAACATTTACGAGATTAAAGACATGGATTTAGATGATGTAATTTGGGTCTTGGCCACCAGTGGGTCAGACTGAGAAACATCTTGTGTCCTAATGCTTTAGAACACCACGAGGAAATACTTACTGCCAATATAAATCTTTTCTCTGTGATGTTTCAAGGTGTGTGCTTTTTCCTTTTTTTTCTTTGTATTTTTTTTAAAGTTGTTTTTTTTATCTTGTTCTTTGTTATTTTTGGAGACACTGAATTTTCAACATAGTAAAGTAAAAACATTGAAATTTTACTGATTTATAGCATATTGTTACGCTTTCATTATTAATTATTTTTCTACTCTACTTTTATATATTTCTATATTCCTGCTTTTTTCTTCATCCCGCAAAGTACGTTCACTTCAAGACTTTCTAATTGCTTATACTTTTGTAAAAATACAAGAATACTACAATAACAACACATCACTGTGGCATTACTTTTACGGACCATCAATGTATATTTACCACTGTAATAATCCCAACAGCACATATTGTCAAAGTTATCACATGTGAACTGAATGTGTACGTATTGTGTTGTGTATTTGATAACATTTTTGTTATGTTAACTAACCAAACTCAATGTCAGCACTTATGAACTCTATATACATAATAATAAAAAAATCACAGTTATTTTTACAAAGAAATGTCTTTGTTTTGTTTTTACATTAGCAAACTTCTTATTCAAATGTGTTTTATTATTATATATATGTGCAATAAGTGATTTTTTTAGAGATGTGATTGAAAAGCCATGGAAAACTGTAGCTAAGAAGTGTACAAACAGGAATGGAGGTTTAAACAGTCCTTTCCTCTTATTTGTTATCATTGCTGTTGTTGATCAAACCAAACGCAGCAAAATGAAGGACTAATCCATCACAGACATGAGAAATACACACCACCAGTGTGAACACGTGTTTCATCATCTTTATTCACTCTAGAATATCACAAATGGTGATAAAAGAACTGGTTTAACAAAGAAACGGTCCTGGTTTTTAGGGGAGTATTTTTCATAATTTATCTTTTTAAAAATAATGAAACAAGGCCATGTCAGAGTCTGATGACTGACTTGAGCTTTGGGAAGAGTCTGAGGGCGTTCTGCGTCGTTATCTCCATCACCTTCTCCACTGGCACTCCTTTAATCAGACTGATGTATTCAGCAGAGACACTAATGTTTTTAGGCTCATTTCTCACCTGTAATTCAGTCACAAAACAATGAACCTAAGCAGATTTTAATTGGATATACTAGGTACATGTTAGTCATTTTGGACATGTCTTTTAATTTAAAAATGTCTTAACAAAGTAGTAAATATCTCACCTGCTTTTCCGGACCCAGAGCTGGTGAATCAGTTTCCAGACAGATGTTCTCTAAAGGCAGCTGTTTCACTAGTTTCTGCTTCTTGGTTAAAAAAAAAGAGAAAAGAACACCACAAATGAACAAAACAAGTTTAGAAAACATATTAAAATGAACCAGTGAAAATGCAATGAGTTGAAATTGTCTTTAAAAGTTTTATAATGAAAAAACAATGTTAAACTCATCTTTAGCCATGTTGTTGAAGGGTGACAGATAATAAGATGTAATTATTAAGTCTGAAGTCACTATGAGTGTTTGGTAAAAGGTAGCTGGGAAAAAAAGGCTGAAAATAAAACTTAAGTGAAAAACAAAATAGACAAAAGAGAATTAAAAGTAAACCAAGAACTACGTATATATATTTAAATGTTTGAACAAACATCACAACGTAGCTAAAATTTAGCAAAAATAAATATGAAAATGAGCCTGTTAAATGTGATTTTCCATAGATGAACATAGAAGAAAATGTCTCACAATTAGTAAAAAAAACCAACCTATAACTAAAAATACCTAAATGTTAACAAAAATGATTATGGTTTACTTGGAGACTTAAATAAAAATAGTATGACGTATTCAGTGGGTTGTGTGGTACTGTACCTGTTCACTGCGAACGATTGACGGTGGGATGGAAAAGAAATATCCCGCCTTTACTCCCTCCATGGCAACAGACGGTTTCCCATCGAAGGCGTGTAACAGGGCTTTGCTGACCCCTAGTGGCAGTTTACGGAACAGTTTGTTCTTTATAGGTCAAATAAATTGAGGTCTCGCAGAAGAACTGAAACTAAACTGCTTAC